TATATATCACATATATTTGCGTTAATTTGAAGTTATATACAAAGTACATGTTACCCATTTGAAGCTTGTAAGCTACTGTATTTTGCTATAATTAAGATAATTATCATTGTAATGAAAAATAAGACTTAATTTTAATGCATTCTTAGTACAAAATTTTTATTATTAAAATCATTTTCAAATCAATAATGAAATTTGACTTTCGTTTGGTACATATAATGAAATTTGACTTTAACGAGTATATTCTATCACATAATTCCATAACAGGGTAAATGTATTTAATTTAGAGCGTATTCCTTTTTGGTTTATTTTATTTTATTAAATAAAGAACATCTTTAAAAACATTACAAGGATGGAAAGATGAAATAATATGTGTAAGATTTTTACTTCCGACATTATTATTACTGTAATTTTGACGAGTAAAAAAGTATCATTTGTATACATACAAAAATATTTTTATGATAATTTTTTTTTAATAATTATTAACCATGAGCAATGGGAAGAGAAGAAAAGAAAAATAAGTGAAGTTGACGTAAAGAGAAGCAAATAATATTATAAAAGTGTTGCAAGAAAATATTATATGAATAATTATTACTCCCAAATCATTATTATAAAATACTATTAACATAATCACACTAATTATAAGTAATTATGTTAGATAATTTTATTAAATAAAATTATAATATACCATTTTTACTTTTCTAATTTATAATTAAATTGTCATGAGAAAGGTGAAGATATTATTATATACCAAAATTTATGCTAACCTACATTAATTAAATGACACAAATAGTAATAATTTGTATTTCTTAGTTAAGTTATCCAAAGTTTGAATTACAACTTTAGATATAAAATAAATTATATTAAAATTGAGAGGAGAATATTCATGATATCTATAAAGACTAATTACAACTTTTGACAATAGATTTTACTTTATAAAAATTATAAAATATTTTATGAAAAGGACTATCATTTTATTAAAAATGTATCTTATAAAAAGGACTAAAAAAAATATTATATTATAAATAATATCTCAAATACTAATTTCCACAAACACTATTATCTAAACCTAGAAACCACTCATAATAATCAAACACTATTGTCTTAACCTATTAGGAATCACTCTTAATAATTATAACCTTATGAGTATGGCTGTGGTAATTAATGTTATTTAGTTATCAGATTAATTTTAAATTATTAAAAAAATTTCTTATGAAAATTAAATTAATATTCAGTTTAATTACAACAGGAATGTTAATTATTTGAAATTTTTATGTAATGGATTAATTGGTTTCTCAGTTGGCGTTTAGATGGGAGATTCCTACTCCTTTTTACTATTAAATTATTTTATTATTAGATAATTGCTTTTCTTTAATTTTTTTAATTATGTTATTGGGATACAATTATTTATTGACTTTATTAATCATTAGTCTTTATTCAAAAACTTGATTAATCACTTTTAAAAAAGTCTCTTTTCAACCACATTTTGGACATGTGCAAGACTTAAATTTCAAATCTTACTCAAATCTTATTTAAGGATATCGAATTCAATATTTCACATATTATATAAGAAATTTTTGTTTTCTTTACCGGTTAGAAAATAATTCTATGGATGGATATTCAAACTTCACTGCGTACACACATTCTAAAATCTTCGATTAAATTTGTATGACATGAACATGCTATATCACAAATCCTCCTCCTCCTCCTTCTTTTTGTTTCTTTTATTTACTAATTAAAAATTCCTCTCAATCAAAGGTGGAGAAAATTTGTAGAGTTTAAAAAATATTTATAGAGAATATAATACATTTACTTCACAATCTTAAATCCGCGGCTTGTGAGATGCACAACTCTTCCTTTTCCTGAGTTAAATGCTTTGACAATTTGGAAGAAAAAAAATAGTTTTTCTTTTCACTCAGAAAATTGTAACAATAGATTTGAATCCAATCAAACCTAAAACATTACGTATTGTAGTGTTAGATATGACGTTGGAAAAAAGAAAAAAAGAAAGAAAAAAAAAAATGACTTGTACGTAAATAGTTACGTATTTACTTTCTGTACTTGTATACTTGTGCTCCACTTAATTGTATTAAAAGTAATGTAGCAAGAAAAGGTCTCACTCGTGTGGCAAAAGTTGTATACATTAATTGAAGTTGAGTCATACGATTAATTATTTGAAACGCAAACTCTCAAAAGCACGAATTATTCCTTTGCAAAATTACCTACTTCTATTAGAAGTCATTTGAATCATTATTAACAAGGCTTGGCTTAATTTTCGCCCTCTGCGTACGGAAAACAGTACAAATAGACTATGATCGTAAAAGGAGGATATATTCATCTACATTCACTGTATATGTCATTCATGGACTACTTCATAATATATAGTGTCACTACACGATCGTAAACATGTTTATATAATTAATGATATCATTCAATAATTCATTTTGTCAACATTAAGTTTTAATTATTTACGGGAAAACCTTTTAATTTGATTATTTAAAGTTATATATGTTGTTATATTAATTATTTGTCAAAATAGATTTTAAAATTCTATATTGTGATCGAGTTGGTCTTTTAATTAAATTTTTAACTTTCTATCAAATTAGTCTTGCAAAATTTTAAAATATCACATAATATACCATCCAGGCTTCGCCTTAGTTGATTGTTTCCCATCAAGAATGAGACTTAAATATTGTCCAAACAATTTGACCTACGGTTCAATATATTAACACTTGTATCTAATAACTCCTTAGTTGTATTAGGAATTTCTAAACATAGAAAAATGTTAACAAGGATAAAAATGAGAAAAGATAATAAGTTAGAAATTTAAAAATTAAAACACCATGAATTTTCAAGAAAAATTAAAATATGACAGTTAGTGAGGAATTTTTTTTTTTTTTTATCAAACTTTAAAATTAACTAGTCAAATAAATTAGCAGCTGGCTATTTTTTGTGCTAAATGCATTATATGTCCGAGCTTCTCCAGGAAAGCATCTAAACTGTAGTTTAACACTTTGTGGCACTAATATTTTGTTAGAATCAATCCCATTTGATAATTTTCATTAGACATGCTTACATTGTTTAATTTATTTTTTGTTATTTTTTATATTGTTGAATAGTATGTAATTAAGTAGTGAATAATGTGTCGATAATCAATAATTATTTCATAAGTCAAATAAACATTATTAATGTACGTATTCCCGTTTATTAATTTTTGAAAAAAAAGGGGCACGTCATTTTCCTTAAATGTTTGCTTTCTTTCTTGCATGTCAAGCTCTTGGTGGGTATACCAAATTCTAGAAATTTTGAATGGAAAGTTCAAAGTGGAAAATTCAGGGTATTTAATTTATTTATTATAAAGTATAAATTGGCATTACAAACCCTGCATTCTCAGCAGTTAGAAAACCACAATGCACGCAGGACAACGAGTACACATGGATCAGATCTAAACAGTGCCTTAAACTTTGAATACATAAAATACAAAATACAAAATAAAGTAAAACCAAATTAACACTACTTTCACAAAAAGCATTCCACTCTTCACTGTATAAACTGTATGGTGCTTCTTCCATAATCAATCCATCTCCTTTATTTGCACTTGTTCTTCAGATCCTGAAAAAACAAATGCGCGCGTGCATTATTAGTTTGTCACAACATTTAATAAATTAATGAGTTCATAATTTAATCATACTAGGGAACTTTTTTAAATTCAAAACTAAAATTATAGTCTCTAACTATAATTGTGATCACTGTGTTAAAATTCTAGAAGTTTACGAATTTGTAATTTAAAGTTTGAATGAAATAGCATGACAATATACATTTTAGGACTTAAAAGAGATAATTCTTTTTATCTCTCAAAAAAATAGACTTCTTTTTAAATTGCTATTTGAAAAATATTTATCTTAATATTTCTATTCAAATGCCATTAGTAAAATATTATTGCACAAAATTCATTTACTAACACCTTTATTAGTAAAAATGTACATCATATTAAATATAGATAATAGAATACAATTTCTCAATTTATTAATAACAATCATATTACTAGTATCTTAATTGACTAAATAATTTTTTTAAAACTATAAAGACTAAAAAAGTTAATTTTAAATTTGAATGATGAAGACAAATTTTTTTTAAATTAAAACTAAAATCATATTTAAGTCAGATTTTGTATCAAGCTTACCATGGGTGCTATAGTATCTAGTAGTGGTAAGGGGGAGGCGGTGATGCATAGACATAGTGTGGTGGAGGAGGAGATGGATACTTGTATGGTTTCTTAGGTGGTGGTGGAGGAGAAGGGTATTTGTATGGAGGTGGGGGTGACTTGTACTTGTACACTGGTGGTGGTGGAGATGGGTACTTGTATGGTGGGGGAGGAGGTGATGGGTACTTGTATGGAGGAGGAGGTGATGGGTATTTGTATGGTGGTGGTGGAGGAGAAGGGTACTTGTAGGGTGGTGGTGGAGACTTGTATTTGTAAACTGGTGGTGGTGGTGATGGGTATTTGTAGGGTTTCTTATGGGGTGGAGGAGGAGAAGGGTACTTGTAAGGTGGGGGTGGGGACTTGTATTTGTAGACTGGTGGTGGAGGTGAAGGGTACTTGTAGGGCTTCTTATGTGGTGGTGGTGGAGAGTGGTAATAGTAAGGAGGTGGAGGTGAGTGCACTGGTGGTGGAGGAGAGTGGTAGTAGTAGGGTTTAGGTGGTGGTGGTGGAGATGAATAGACGTACTTATCTGCTGAGGTTTGAGATGGCAAGGTGAGAGAGACTATTGCCAATACAAGAGTGAGAGTAAGAGAGGCCATAGGAGACCCCATTTTCTCAAAGTGGGTTTTGGTTATGCTATAAGGAAAGGTAGTGACCCCTTTATATAGTTTTTTTCAACACGTTAACACCGACTAAAGATTCATATGGGGGGAGCTGTACTTGGAAAATTTTGATCTATTCAAACTTACCACCTTATGGGATTTGTTAATTAAATTGTATATACATGTAGAGAGTATAGACATATTCTCGGTTTACTACACTGTAGAACTTTAGAATTTTTAATAAAATTATAAAACTATTTGATATTTAGTTATATAGATTTAATTTATAATATTGTATAATATAAGAAAATGATAATTATGAGATTACTAAATTACCAAATATTTGAATTGTTTAAACTTGTATATGATCATATATATATCATCATATCTCTTCAACTAAACAAAGATCCAAGAAGCAGTTCAATCTCCCAAACATGGGCTTGAAGGAGGATTTTAATTTGAGCAATAGGCTGAGAAAGTCAAGACTTTGCCAAGCAGTCCAACAAATGAAAACTTGCTTATCCTCTATGGATTGTACAAGCAAGCCACTGTTGGAGCTGTCAACACTGAACGCCCTGGAATGTACTTCAACATGAAGGACCTTAATTGCTAAATGGGATGCATGGAAGGCTAGCTGTTGAAGGGAAATCCGAGGAGGAAGCGATGAGTGATTAATTACATCACTAAGGTTAAACAACTGCTTGAAGAAGCTGGCATGCCTGCTTGACAACATTGTCATGTCCTGCTTTCTGATTCTCTGTGCTACAAGTCCTCATCAGTGTGGAAATAAAAAGTTGCAAGCTTTTATCATTATAATCTTAATTACTCCTAATGATTTAGACATGTTGTTTTAAGTTATCTGTATCACTATTATTGGAAATGCCTGTAGACAGATCAGAGATGCTATATGCACCTGAATTTGTGTCTAGTTTAATTTAAATTTAAAGTACTTCAATTGGTTAAAATATATATATATAT